CCCAGTGTCACAGCCCACCAAACTCGCCCGAAGGGAAGACTCTCGTCCATCAGACGCGCTCGGAGGGCAAGGAGCTCGCCCACCGGACTAGCTTGGGGGGCGAGGGTCTCGTCCACCATAACTCACCCGAGGGTGACAGCTTGCCCACCAGACTCACCCGGGGGTGAGGGGCTCGCCCACCAGACTCGCTCGAGGGGGGGGGGCGGTACGGAGCTCGACCACTAGACTCACCCGGGGTGAGGAGCTCTCCCACTAGACTCGCTCGGGGGGTGCGGAGCTTGCCCACCAGACTCGCTCGGAGGGTGGGGAGTTCGCCCGCCAGACCCACCCGGGGATGAGGAGCTCGCCCACCAGATCGCTCGGGGGGTGAGGACCTCGCCCACCAGACTCACCCGGGGGTGAGGAGCTCGCCCACTAGACTCGCTGGGGGGGAGGGGGGTGCGGAGCTCGCCCACCAGACTCGCTCGGGGGGTGAGGAGCTCGCCCACCAGACTCACCCGAGGGCGAGAAGCTCACCCACCAGACTCACCCGGGGGTGAGGCTCTCGCCCACCAGGGTTGCTCGGGGTGTGAGGACCTCGCCCACCAGACTCGCTCGGGGCTGAGGAGCTTGCCCACCAGACTCGCTCGGAGGGTGCGGAGCTCGCCCACCAGACTCGCTCGGGGTGTGAGGACCTCGCCCACCAGACTCACCCGGGGGTGAGGAGCTCGCCCACCAGGTGGCGCCAGCCCGCCGTTTCCCGGGATCCGCTGGAAATAAACACGGCCGGCCGGCTGGCTGTGACGCCAACCGCGTCGGTGGACCTCGGCTCCCCCCGCCGGACATGGCCAGCGCCGCGCCGCCCGGCCGCATACTGATGGGCCGCAGGTGCCGGGCCGCCGCCGTCGGTGGCCTTTCCCGGAGCGAGGACGGCGGCGCGCACACAGTTACGTATTCAGCGATGCAACGCGGCCGGCGCAGATGTCATCTGACCGACCATACATGGACACGGCGCTCGTCGGCGCCGGCTCGGTGCGGCGCTGCGGGCTGTGGCCGTCGAGCGAGGGCCGGGCCCGGTCCGCCGAGGTCGCCGGGGACGACATGGATGACACAGGCACGTCCTCTGCTCGGGACTGGAGGAGACACACGCACCTCCTCTGCACGGGACTGGAGACGTGTACGTACCTCCTCTGCTCGGGACTGGAGGAGACGTGTACGTACCTTCTCTGCTCGAGACTGGAGGAGACACACGCACCTCCTCTGCTCGGGACTGGAGGAGACGTGTACGTACCTCCTCTGCTCGAGACTGGAGGAGACGCACGCACCTCCTCTGCTCGGGACTGGAGGAGACGTGTACGTACCTTTTCTGCTTGGGACTGGTGGAGACGTGTACGTACCTCCTCTGCTCGGGACTGGAGGAGACGTGCACGTACCTCCTCTGCTCGAGACTGAAGGAGACGTTCACGTACCTCCTCTGCTCGGGACTGGAGGAGGCGCACACGCACCTCCTCTGCCCAGGACTGGAGGAGACGCACACGCACCTCCTCTGCCCAGGACTGCAGGAGACGCACACGCACCTCCTTTGCCCAGGACTGGAGGAGACGTGCACGTACCTCCTCCGCCCGGGATTGGAGGAGACACACGCACCTCCTCTGTTCGGGACTGGAGGAGACGCACACGCACCTCCTCTGCTCGGGCCCGGAGGAAACATGCGCACCTCCTCTGCTCGGGACTGCAGGAGACGTGCACGTACCTCCTCTGCTCGGGACTGGGGGAGACGTGCACGCGCCTCCTCTGCCCAGGACTGGAGGAGACGTGCACGCACCTCCTCTGCCCAGGACTGGAGGAGACGTGCACGCACCTCCTCTGCTCGGGACTGGAGGAGACGCAAACGCACCTTCTCTGTCCAGGACTGGAGGAGACGTGCACGTACCTTTTCCCCACAAGACTGGAGGGGACGTGCACGTACCTCGTCTGCCCGGGGCTGGAGGGAACGCACACGTACCCCTGCTCTGTAGGAACTGGAGGAGACTCAGACGCATTCGATCTGCCTGGGACTGGAGAAGATGCTTTCCTGCCCAGCAATGGAGGGGACGAACACCTGCCCAGGACTAGAAGAGACGTACATGCAAACCACCTGCCTGAGACTGAGGAAGACGAAGACGGATCTCCTTTGGCTAGGGATCTGTGAACATGCACACACCCGCTCTGGTCTCTGCCGATGAATCTGGGAGGATAGGGGAGACGCACGCACTTGTTGTATAGTGCTGCATAGATTGGCACCCAGCCAATGTTCACATACACCTTCCCGTAACCGTAGATATTCATCCGGGCTTTCGGAACTGCTACAGAAAGGGAGAAGACAATTCCTCCAACACTGGTCACTAAAGGCGCGTGTTTGCTGTCCTCTTGAAAATATCAAAATACGCTTGGCCTTGCACCGACCGTTGTCATAGAGCAGCAGGCGGCGTACATAAGCAAACACCGTTGAGATGCTCTGGCGCCTGCAGCACCAGTGTGCCGACTGTCGCCCACCACACCACTGCCACAGGCGGCACGCTGCCCGTGTGGGTTCACGGCCGGGGACCACCGCCGCACCTTATAAGAGGCGACCTTCCAGGGCGCTGAACGCCAGGCGACGCTGAGTCAGTGTCGCGGCGATCCTGCCGATTGCATGTGGAAGGAGCTGCGGACGCGCTTGTCATTCGGCCGGGCGGCGGGTGTGCTCAGGGCGGGATGGCCGCCAGCGCCGCGCCAGGGCCGCCCCGCGCCCGGAATGCCGGGCCGTCCGCTGCCCGCCACCGCTCCCCGTGCACCGGCGGGCCACGCGAACTCCGGCGACGGCCGGAACGCGCTGACCCGCCTGTCCGGCTGAACGCATGGTGTTTGGGACTCCAGATGAGGAGGATGGGAGCTTGGCAGTTAACTGTCGAAATGTGGAGCTGTTTGTCGGGTTCTTACAACATCAACGCCGGTCTTCTTCTTGTATTCTGTCTGAGTTCTTCCCCGGTGCGTGGATATTGAAGCGATATACGGAGCGAACCATGGCCGTACACTTACCCGGATCAGATAAAAAAGACCAGATCAGATCAGATCTTCCATCGGCCGGCTCGTCATTACAGGGAAACTTCTTTAGAAAGGGGCCCGGGGACCGTGCTATCACCGTTTTGCCATCTGAGCGTGACCGAACGGGTGTTGAGGGCGCTACCGATGGTAGGATTACACCACCCCGCTGCTGGATTTCCTGGCAAAAGCCGAAAACGAAAGTGCGTCCACTGCCCTCGACTTTCTCCCTCTACCAGATCTGGCGCCTCTGCCCCCCCTTCCCCCACCTGGACCGCCTGCCCCCCTGAGGTCGCCCGTGCGGCCGCCAGCTGGTCATGCAGCGGTTTGTCGGACGACTGCAGTGGACCGCCCGCCCCCCCCCCCCCTGAGGCCACCCGCCAGCTGGTCATGCAGTGGTTCGTCGGACGACTGCAGTGGACCGCCTGCCTCCCCCCTGAGGTCGCCCATTCGGCCGCCAGCTGGTCATGCAGTGGTCCGCCGGACAACTGCGGTGGACCGCCTGCCCCCCCCCCCCCCACCCTGAGGTCGCCCGTGCGGCCGCCAGCTGGTCATACAGTAGCCCGCCGGACGGCTGCAGCCGCCAGCCAGTCGCCCGGGCCGCTGATGAAGCTGCCGTATTGACGGCCACGCCTGTCCGCTCGTCGCGGTACAATGGTGCACGGACCGGAACCGCGCCGGTCTCCGCTGCCGCCGCCGCAGCCGCCGCCGCCGGAACCGGGCACGCGCGCGCCGCCTGGCGACGGCTCGGCGGAGCTGCAGACGGCCAGCGCCGCCGCCTGGACCGGCCGCTCGCCGGCGGCGCAGGCTACGGGACTCGATCGAGTAGCGCGCAGCCAGTCCACCCAGTGGATTTCTGATTCATATGCTACCGTAAAATTCGGCAATTTACCATACTTTATTGCGTAACACTCGACTCTGATTTCCCCCTTTGTAAGTGGCGTGATAGATTAAGGTTTTCCGAGCGTTTGCTTAGCGACAGAGAACTCAGCCATTGGTAAGCTGAGCAGCCAGTCGACCTGACGGTTACTCGGACCAGACTGACGAACGGCTCGACGGCCGAGTCACCCTGTTCGAGCCGTCCTGCCGCCCATTGTCGGTGGGAGAGCGGGCGGCGACTGGGCGTCCAGTGCTCATCGATAGCGATCTGTCCATCGACAGCCCACATCCGATCGGCCGTGAGCCGGGTTTGCACGCGCCGCCGCTCGGTCAGTGTGGGAGGAGTGATGGAACGAGGCTGCAGCCTGCCGAAGGCGGTGCGCCTGGAGAGGACTTGGCCGGCCGGATTTACTCGACGAAAGCTCCTCCCTGACGGATGGTACTTGCCCTGCTCTGACACTGACCAATGGGCCTCTGTTTTACAACGAGGACGGGAATGCGATGACCAACTTCGCGCAGTTGGTCGCTGGGTGGATGCTGACGGCCCGCGGGCTCCGTGCGTGCACCAGCGAGTGTGCGTGTGCTTAAGCCGGTGGGTCTGGTTGTGTGTGGGCGTGCATTTGAGCAGCGCTCGGTGCACTTCCGTTCGAGCGTGTGGGAGAAAGTTTGAGCGCGCACTGTGAGTGACTCAACCTGCAGATGTGCACAAGCGTGCGGCATTGTCATCGGCCTCCATACACGTGCAAACGCGTGGGTTGCACTGTGAGTTATCGATGCATTTTCGTGAGAACAAATCATCATTGAAACGAACGAAACGATCAAAACATCGAAGCGAATCACGTCTGTGCACTTGCCCGGATCAGGTCAGACAGATCAGATTAGCACATCAAACTGCTGCAACGCCACTGACATTATGTTTCTAGGTTTAAATAGTAAGTTAAGACGTGTTACAGGTTTTTATACCTGAGCAGCCAATGTGTTCAGTGTTCAATCTTCCAGCACATTTGCGCTGTTAAGGATGCGACACCATCTAGCGGTGCTCCTCGGGTGCTGACTGGTCCCACCTGGCTCTGTTTCAGCGGTGTGTAACCGTCGGTGCGGCAAGGGCCGCTGCGTGCGGCCGAACCTGTGCGAGTGCGAGCGGGGGCAGCTGTCACCGGCATGCTCCCCACCGGCAGGTGAGGCGCCAGCGACGGACCGGCGCCCGCGCGAGCGCCGGGCCTCGCCGGCACGCGAGCCGTCTCCTCTCGCGATGCCAGCCGGCGGCGTAAACCGAGGAGTGCGTCTGTAGCTTCCTCTGCTTTGTGCTCGGAAGGCGGGTAATGTGAAGTGTCGAGCACCCTCCGCATACGGCTACTCCACAGTCGGAGTCTGTTTTGCGAGGATTTTGTGAATTTGGCTTTCGTGCTTCGCTGTCGAGATCCCGCCACATACTGACAATCTCGCCGTTCCCTGGACGTCGCTGTGACCGGGGCCGCGTGTGCTGCAGAGGAGCGGCGCGTCCCCTCCTGCCAGGCCATGTGCCTCAACGGAGGCACGTGCTTCGGCGACAAGTGCATGTGTCGGGGCGGCTACAAGGGCGACTTCTGCAACGAGCGTGAGTTGGCTGGCGTGGACCGCGACCGCAGTGGCGTTACGTGGAAACGCACGAGCCGTGCTCAGTGGGGTCTGTCGTGTTCTGTCCAAATCGTCACACTGCTAATAGGTGAAATGAGTGGCGATGTCACATGCGCCACATGCCGTGCAGCTTTGTCTTCCTGATGTTGGTGTGTTTGTACGAAGCAGCTCGTCACGCTGAATGTCAATACCTAGACCCTGATGACACTGAACCTGGCCGGTCTGTGATGGTCCCGCTGAGTGTCGCCCGGCCTGTCGCCCCGGCCGGTCTGTGATGATTACGCTGAGCGTCGCTTCGTTGCTGCAGCCGTCTGCACCGAGCCGTGCCTCAACGGTGGTCGCTGCATCGGTCCGGACCGCTGCGCCTGCGTGTACGGTTTCACCGGACGCCGCTGCGAGGCTGGTGAGTGGCCACCCCCGAATCATATTTACATGGCACCACGTGGTTGTTCCGACCTCTTCCTTGGTTTACTTACTGCCGTTGATAAGCCTCACTGGCCACCCAAGGATGACGCCATGAAGGCAGCTGACTCAAACCACCGGCGCCCTGTGATTTCAGACTACCGGACGGGGCCATGCTTTACCGAGGTAAACAACGACATGTGCAAGTCGCAGGTGCCGGGAGTCATCTGCACCAAGCAGCTGTGCTGTGCCACCGTCGGCAAAGCCTGGGGCCACCCATGCGAGCACTGCCCGGCCACCCTGCCATGCGAGACGGGCTTCCTGAAGAACATCCACAGCGGAGAGTGTGTCGGTGAGCTGCGGCAGCGGCGGGGGCGGGGGCGGGGGCGGAGCGGGAGCGGGGGCGGGGCAGGAGCGGGAGCGGGGGCGGGCGAGGCGGGAGGTCAGCTTCGGCGTTACCGCAGGGGCTCGTAATCAGCTCGCTCCCAGTGTGTTAGCATGATCACCACTCTGAGTGTCCGTGCGGTCACGCCATCCGCGCTGACGGTATGGAGCAATTCGACATCGCCGGCGGTGGATTTCGTAGATTATGTTTCTGTAAGGGCGTGGGAGCCTCAAATGGTCGCCAATACAGCCTGTGCATTCTGCACTACGCCTACAACTTAAAAGATAAGCCCGCTGTGTGTGGAACTGTTCTTCAGCTGGTTAAAACGCACACAGAGAAACAAACGCTGTGCACGCCGTCATCGCGGTCTAACCGCATTCAATGCGGCGTCATGCCTTTCCGAAACGCGTCTCCAGCTGTTCAAAGGCGTCAGAAGCGGCCGTCCTGTCCCGCCGCAGCCTCTCTGCGCCATGTCCCGCTGCACCCTCATAATGATACCTCATCAGCGCCGCGCCCTGACCGGGAGCGCCCGCCCCCTCCAGACATCGACGAGTGCCAGGCGATCCCAGGCCTTTGCGAGGGTGGCAAGTGCATCAACACGGTCGGCTCGTTCCGCTGCGAGTGTCCGCGCGGCCAGGTGCGCTCGGAGACCACCAACCAGTGCGTGGACGCCGACGAGTGCGGCCAGCCCGGCGTCTGCGAGCACGGCACCTGCGTCAACATCGAGGGCGGCTACTTCTGCAGCTGCGACGCCGGTTACATTCCCAGCCAGGACAAAAAGACCTGCATGGGTGCGTGACAGCGCCGGCGACAGGGCGGCGGCTGCCTCCGGATGCGCAGATGGAGCAGCGCGGAAGGAGCCGCTCATCCCGCGTGCATTGTTGAACATTTTATCGCCTTTGTGTCAAACGAGGAGTCGTGATTTCTTTGTGATTTCTTATTTTAGACTTCTGATTTAATCCGATTCATTTTGTGTTTGTTCTTTTATTCAGCTGTGTCTGATACCGTGAGTATATGGAACACGAACTCTGTGAATGCGAGGCTACATACCTTCCGTCATAACGTGTGTTCGGTTTTCCTGACGCCGTCGGGACGGCCGGTGCCACCAGCAACCCCACCCGCGGGGGGTTGTCTGCCCCGCCGCCGCCCCTTCTCCCTACTGACGGGCCCGCCCCGGCCGGCAGACACGCGCCAGGGCACCTGCTACATGGAGTACTCGGCTGGCCAGTGCAGCGGCCGGTTCCCGCACCTGCTGGCGCGCGTCGACTGCTGCTGCTCGGACCGGGTCGGCAAGGCCTGGGGCGTCGACGACTGCCAGCCCTGCCCGCAGGCCGGAACCAGTGCGTGGCACGCGAGCTCGGCGTCCGGCCCGGCCGTGCGAGTTAGGGGCGGTGCTTCTGTGAGGCAGCTGGCTGGTGTTTGGGAACGGGCTTATGGCCGAGAAACATGGTAGACGGTGATGTTGGAAGCTGCTCAGGGACCCAGTGTCTGCTGATCCCGTCAGGTGCTCACTGCCAGATATTTTATCAAGGCCGATTCGTTTTATTTCCTCGTGCATGCATTTAAAAGAAAAACATGTCTTCTATGCGTGACTAGATGCTGCTAGACTAGACCTTGTTACAAACCAAAAGACACATTCCCTTTGGCTGGTATTCTGTCACTGATGCTGAGGAGCAACTTACCGTTGGCTGAGTCCAGCAGCGACCGCAGTGCGTGACCTGAGCCTCCCACGCCCGCTGTCCTCTGCCGCCAGGGGAGCATAAGAGCCTGTGCGCGACGGCCGGTGTGCTGCGGCTGAACGAGTGCGCCGTCCGACCCGAGATCTGCGGCCACGGCAGATGCGTCGACACGGCCGGCTCCTACCGCTGCGAATGCGACTCCGGCTACGAGGTCGACCAGCGCACCGCTCGCTGCGAAGGTCGGTGCCGCGCCCTCAAGCGCCGCTCGTAGTCAGTGTGCCGGAATTATGTGATTTTGCTCAACGTCACTAGGTGCTCCTCTTGGCTCAACACCCTCGCGTTAGGCCGATAGAGTTGTTCCAGTTTTATTTCCGATGTAGTTGCGAGAGACCTTAAGCTCCTGATTTTCCAGCGTCACAAGATGTTGTACTGACTTAAAAGGCTGTTGATGCTATGTTGTTGAAAAAACACGACGGTATAATCGCACTAAAAGCACACTCTGGTGCTCAAAATAATTGGGTGTGATTTGCTCTCATGGCCAGGAACATTGTCTCGAACGGCGGGTACTCTCATAACATATCAGGGGTGCATCCAAAGGGAAATGGGTTGAGGGGTTGGCGCACGTCCAAGTTCGGCTATTTTTTTAACATGCATGGCTGCCAACAGAAAGTTAGAAATCAGCGTGATGCGAACTGACCGAGCTCAGGCTCTCCCTCCAGCAGAAAATCCTGGCTGAGCTCCTATGATATATCCCCATGCTTTCTTCATGCTACTGTTTGACTAGGACCTTTTGGTAGACGAAAAGTCAATACCTTCAGTAAAAGACGCCACAACGGCGAGACTGACGCAGCCCGGGAAGCTGGGCCTCGGTCAGCGTGCTGCCGTGCCGCCGCTGTTGAGCGCACCTCCGCTCTCGCTCCAGACATCGACGAATGCCGTCGCGGGGACGTCTGCCTGGGCGGCCAGTGCATCAACACTGACGGCTCGTACCGCTGCCAGTGCCCGCGCGGCTTCGACATGTCGGCCGACGGACGCCAGTGCATCGGTGAGGAGCCGCGCGGCGCGCGGGCGGTTCGTCGTGTTTGAGCGGAGTGGTGGCGAAAGAGCGGGTGTGTGCGCTTAGCCGTGTGGAGAAACCGCAGTGCATTTTACCATTATAGTGTTTCTTATCAAAGGAGAAGTGGTCTACTGTACACATGTACGGCAAAAATAGTACTCCCGCTGTGATGGAGGTGAACACCTGGTGAAAAGAAGCCTGCAGGGTCTATTTTAATAGATGCTGCATGTATGTCTCACGTAACACAAGCGCAAGTATCCACAGGCCGACTCTGTATGGTCAGGAGTCAAATCAGGCGCAACACTGCCCCGCTCGCCATGGTCTTCATGCAGCACCAGGACTCCTGTTCAGTGCCACCCTCGCTCTCCGACAGACCACGACGAATGCCTGTCGCGGGGTATGTGTGCCAACGGGCGCTGCATCAACATCGACGGCAGCTTCAAGTGCGAGTGCGATCGCGGCTTCCTGCTGTCGCCCACCGGCTTCTCCTGCGTCGGTGAGCCCGCGCTCAGGACTCGATAATATCGAAGTGCACAACGTTTGAAACCTGCATCCCGAATGGTGCGAGAGGCCTCCACTGACGCGTCGGTATGATGAGCGTGCGTTCGGTCGAGCGCTCACAGAGGCCTCCACTGACGTGTCGGTATGATGAGCGTGCGTTCGGTCGAGCGCTCACAGAGGCCTCCACTGACGTGTCGGTATGATGAGCGTGCATTCGGTCGAGCGCTCGCAGAGGCCTTCACTGACGTGTCGTTATGATGAGCGTACATTCGGTCGAGCGCTCACGGAGGCCTCCACTGACGTGTCGGTATGATGAGCGTGCATTCGGTCGAGCGCTCACAGAGGCCTCCATTGACGTGTCGGTGTGATGAGCGTGCATTCGGTCGAGCGCTCACAGAGTGCGCGTCTGTGTGTACGTGCAATGCACACACACGCATACGTACTTGTACGTGCATACGTTCGTGCATACGTGATGTGTACATGCGTGAGTTAAAAACGCGAACGAACGCCCCTGATCAACCGGGCTCGGCTCCGATGATGCGAGCACAGTCTCTCGACTTACAATCTTTGCTGCGTTCAAAATCTTGAGGCATTTTTAATTCCTCAGATTGACAGCGACAGTAATGCATGTGAAATTCTCTGAAGCCCTTTTTGACACTCACGGGATGTCATTTCCGACCCAGCACTGCTCGGTCGTCGCCCACCGTTTTCAATCCCTGGCGCCTGCCGCGCCCTACCCCTCTGACACCCCGCACGTGACACCCGGCGCGCCCTCCACCCCTGACACCCCGGCGTGACACCCGCCGCGGCTCGCGCCCAGACATGGACGAGTGTCAGGAGAACTCGCGCATTTGCCTGAACGGCCGCTGCGACAACGTGCCCGGCTCGTTCCGGTGCGTGTGCGAGAGGGGCTTCACACACTCGGCCGACGGCACGTTCTGCACCGACCTGGACGAGTGCCGCGAGGGCAACGTCTGCCAGAACGGCAAGTGCGCCAACAACGACGGCGGCTTCCAGTGCTTCTGCCACGCCGGCTACGTGCTGAGCCGGGACGGCACCACCTGTGTCGGTGAGTGCCTCGGGGAGCGCGGTGGGAGCGACCCTGACGGCGAGAGGGTGGTGCCGGCCGGGTCATGGAGCGGTCAGAGGAATGAAGCTATCGGTAGTGAGGCAATGCATGAGGTCGGGAATGATCTGGCCATATCTGCTTGTACTTGATGATCAAAGGACGGCTGGCGCGCAATGATGTGATCGGTTTTCGTGTTTCATATTTTGGGGGATAGAATTCGTGTGTGTGCTGGAAGTGAACGGTTGCCGTGGTTGTGCTTACGTTCCATCTCTTCTGGCCTCTACCAATTCCCGCGCCCGTGGCCCTCGTGACCGGTGTCCCCACCTGTCGGCAGATATCGACGAGTGCGCCATGCCGGACACGTGCCGGGGCGGCAGCTGCGTCAACACCCAGGGCAGCTTCCGGTGCCAGTGTCCGCCCGGCTTCACCCTCGGTCTGGACGGCAGACAGTGCGTGGGTACGTCACCTGCCAACTGGATCGTCTCCGACGATAACTGCTCTTTTGCTGCACGGCGTCTGCACGATATACTGATCCGAGGCGAGGTGCCCGTGCCGTATTTTCAGACCTTCTTCCGTGAATAACGTTCTTTCTCAAAGATAGAAACACACCACCACAGCGTGGCAACACACTGACACTGGTACTGCTGTTGCCAGACCTTCAGATTCGTGACGTGACCGAGGTTGTGGTTACGGACTCGTCCTGTGACGGCCGTGATTTCAGACTCAGGTCGTCACTATTGTCTCCGGAGCATCTGACCCGCGACACGGCCGTCGTTCGGTGATTCCTGATTGGCGATGAAGCCTGGCGTTGCCATGGTTTCAGACTCGCGTCGGGACTACTGCTTCGCCATGTTCCGGGACGGCCAGTGTCTGAACCCGAGCACCATGCCCGTCACCAAGTCGCAGTGCTGCTGCTGCACAGTGGTGGTGAACCAGCCGATGGGCTGGGGAACCCCGTGCCAGCAGTGCCCCGAGCCGGGCACCAACGAATTCAACCAGCTGTGCCCCTTCGGGCCGGGCATGACCCACGAGGGCAGCGGTCAGTAACCGATGCCTGCCGCTTGCTCCCACTTGATGACACGTTGACGTAGGTGCCGTTGTGAAAGCTTTCTCTGAATTCCTTGTTAGCTTAACATTATTTTTTGGCGTGGGGTATTATTGCATGTTCAGTCACTTTCCCGTCTCCGTGAATTGAAAAGCCATAGCAAATGCAATGAGGGGAATTGGTGTGATGGTGGACTTGAAAGCGAAAGATGGAAGTGAACGCTTCAGCCGTGGCCAAAGTGAGTCTAACGCTCCCACGTCAGTACTGCTGATATGCCCTCGCCATCCCTCCACCCCTGTGACATCGGCAGCAGCGGCCTGACCCGACCCGTCTGGCGCCACAGACATTAACGAGTGCGCCCAGACGCCGGGTATCTGCGGCAACGGCGCCTGCGAGAACCTGGACGGCAGCTACCGATGCATCTGTAACCCGGGATACCGAGCCGACGAGACGGGCAAAGTCTGCGTCGACGAGGACGAGTGCGCGCGCGACCCGCTGCTGTGCGACGGCGGCCAGTGCCGCAACATCGCCGGCGGCTTCCAGGTCAGCCGCGGCCGGGGTCACCGGCTGGCAGGCAGATGGGTCAAGGTCACCGACTGGCAGGCAGAGGGGTCAAGGTCACCGGCTAGCAGGCAGAGGGGTCAAGGTCACCGGTTGGCAGGCAGAGGGGTCAAGGTCACCGGCTGGCAGGCAGAGGGGTCAAGGTCACCGGCTGGCAGGCAAAGGGGTCAAGGTCACCGGCTTGGAGGCAGATGGGTCAAGGTCACCGGCTTGGAGGCAGAGGGGCCACGGTGACCGGCTTGGAGGCTGAGGGATCAGGACCGTCCTCTGGGGGGGGGGGGGGGGGGGGGGGGCAGAGGGGCCACAGTCACCGGCTGGGAGGCAGAGGGCAGAGCTATCGGTATATCCACATGATTTGTTGTGTAACTGTTAGATACAGATGCAGAAACTGTAAATCCATCAGAGTGACGCCGCCGGCTGTGCAGGTTTGGCCGACGTAGCCAATACAATTTTGACATTGTTCGCGTCAATCAACCAACGTCTTAAAAAATGGCAGGACACAACGTAGAACAGATGTGAGGATGCAGGAAAATACTTTAGCACAGATAATTAAAACAAGTTCGTTTCTAGGTGACTTTTGTCGCAAATCCCCAAGGACAGAACCTTTCTAACGATGCGCGCTCTGGTGCCAACTCCTGGCTGCGTACCCCGCCGTATTGACGCCGCTGACTCACACCGACAGTGCATGTGCCCGCCGGGGACCGCACACAACCCGGTGACGGACCACTGCGACGACAAGGACGAGTGCGTGGAGCTGGGACCCGACGTCTGCGTCAATGGCCGCTGCCTCAACACACTGGCCAGCTTCGAGTGCGTCTGTCCGGACGGCATGGTGCTGGACAGCACGCAGCGCATCTGCATCGGTGGGTGTCCGCGTCCGCACAGCGCCGCCCGGAGGGCGAGTCGGTGACCCGCAGCGGTTTGGTGTCGGTCTGTGGTCTGTGATCCGTGGTCTGTGGTCCGTGGTTTGTGGTCTGGGGTCTGTGGTCTGATGTATGTCTATGGTCTGTAGTCTGAGGTCTGTGGTCTGTGGTCTATGGTATGCGGTCTATAGTCTGTGGTCCGTGGTCTATGCTATGAGTTTTGTGGTCTGCGGTCTGTGGTCTGTGGTCTGTGGTCTGTGATCTGTGGCCTGCTGTCTTTCTATTGTCTGTGGTCTTTGGTCTGTAGTTTGAGGTCTGAGGTCTGAGATCTTTGTCTACGTGACAAGTGATACGGCTGGCTGAGGCGCTCACGGTTAAATAAGCTGCGTGGATCGGTAAATTATATGTGAAACAGGATCTCATACCTGAACGTGTGTGTCTGGAGAAGCGTCACTGCATCGGTCGTGCAGGCAGCCGACGACAGCTCCCGCTGCGAGGCCCCTGTCTGAGCGTGCGTGTCTGGCGGCGCCGGGCGGGTCTCACCGCCGGCTGCGTCTGGCCCGCAGACAACCGGCGCGGCTCGTGCTGGACCAAGGTGCGCGGTGGTCGGTGCGAGGCCAACCTGCCGGGCGCCATCCTCAAGTCCGAGTGCTGCTGCTCGGTCGGCCTCGCCTGGGGAAGCCCCTGCGAGATGTGCAACACCAACGACTGCGAGTGCGGCATCGGATACGCCAAGGTAACGCTCTCGCGCGGCGTCGCCGTCGGTCTCAGTACTGGCGGTCAGGTGCGGGGGCAGCCAGGGTGGGACTTGCGATCAGGGTGGCCTGGTCCGCTGTCGACCCTCACCTCCTCGCCTGGTCCGCCGTCGATCCTCACCTCCTCGCCTGGTCCGCTGTCGACCCTCACCTCCTTGCCTGGTCCGCCGTCGATCCTCACCTCCTCGCCTGGTCCGCTGTCGACCCTCACCTCCTCGCCTGGTCCGCCGTCGATCCTCACCTCCTCGCCTGGTCCGCCGTCGATCTTCACCTCCTTGCCTGGTCCGCTGTCGACCCTCACCCCCTCACCTGGTCCGATGGCGACCCTCACCTCCTCACCTGGTCCGATGGCGACCCTCACCTCCTCACCTGGTCCGATGGCGACCCTCACCTCCTCACCTGGTCCGATGGCGATCCTCACCTCCTCGCCTAGCCCGCTGTCGACCTTCAGGTCCTCGCCTGGTTCACTGTCGACTCTAACCTCCTCGCCTGGTCCGCTGTCGACCTTCACCTCCTCTCCTGGTCGGCTGTCGACCCTCACGCCCCCGGCTGGCCCTCTGTCGACCCCCACCCCCTCGCCTGGTCCGCTGTCGACCAACCCCTTCGCCTGGCCCGCTGACGACCCTTACCGCCTCGCCCGGCCCGCTGTCGGACCCGCACCGTCTCGCCCGGTCCGCTGGCGACCCCCACCGTGCCGCCCGGCCCGCTGTCGACCCTCACCGTCTCGCCCGGCCCGCTGTCAACCCTCACCGTCCCGCCCGGCCCGCTGTTGACCCTCACCTCCTCGCCTGGTCCGCAGCTGGACGGCAAGACCTGCACGGACATCAATGAATGTCTGCTGAGCCCGGACATCTGCGAGGGCGGTGGCGTGTGCGTCAACACGGAGGGCTCCTTCACGTGCGACTGTCCGCCGGGCCTCACGCTCGACTCGTCGCGCACCAAATGTGTCGACCTGCGCGAGGAGACGTGCTACCTCGAGTACCGCAGCGGGCAGTGCTCGCGCGCGCTCACCGGTCGCTACAAGAAGGCCATGTGCTGCTGCGCCATGGGAGCGGCCTGGGGCGACGACAGGCGAGTTCCGACCATCGGGGTACGGTTAGATAGCAATCATCGTGTTGCTGCGCCGTGGAAACGCCAGGCGATTCGGAATGCCAGGTGAATGGATGAGGCTAGGTGTGTTCCGAAGACGACCGCGGTTAGATAGTGGATGGCAGGAGCGATCAAGCACACACTCCAATACAGGAGAGCACACTTTGTCTCGGTATTAAACGAAAGACCGAGACAAAGGTTTGGCCAGGCCAAGGAAGATATAACTTAGAGTTCGTAGTTTAGATACATCGCTGCATCGTGCCAGTTTAGACGCATAAGCTGATGCGTCAGTGCATACCTCTTCTTATTGACTCCTGATCCCTAATGGAATGTTGTACAGTGTGTACGATGAGCATGTGCATCTACTAACATATATTTTTGCTCTAGCTATCGCAAAAACACATAAAACACTCATCTGCTATTGGCCACAGTTAACACTCCGGACCCCTAGTCAGTGCCAGCTTCCCCCCCCCCCTCTCTCTCTACAGCTCCAGTGCCGCTGACTCGCTGACGCCGCCTGTCCCCCTTCCTCAGGTGCGAGCAGTGTCCGCCGCAGGGCTCGAGCGCGTTTGACGAGCTCTGTCCCAAGGGCGCCGGCTTCCTACAGCGCAAGGACATCAACGAGTGCACCGAGTTCGCCGACATCTGCCTGAACGGCCGCTGTAGGAACAGCATCGGCAGCTTCCAGTGCCGCTGCAACCAGGGCTACTCGCTGGACGAGTCTGGCGTCACGTGTCTCGGTGAGCGGCTGGCAGCGTCACACTGGTCTTGTTCGTCGTGTCCACGCCCGGGGAGCTCGCGGTAACAGCCGGCGACCGCGGGGCCAGGGTGGTGGTTATGACTGTGCTGCACGGTCTCCTGGCACTATAACATTATGACATCGGTTCACATCGTAGGGAGATGGAAATAGACAGTGAGAGGCTGCAAGAATGTTTTACCGGGCATGTGTCTGCGCATCACCCTTGGGATCCAGGCACATGTCTGGTCTCTACCCTTTATGTAGGGTAGGAGAATGCAGACCTATTAACTGTGATGCATGTGGTAAAATTCGCCATTAGGGATAAGCAGGTCAAAGCTGAAATCTCGAAACGAATGCAAACCCAGGTAGTCACTCACGCTGTACGGCCACTCTCACTATCTATGGAGCATAGGTCCCTTATAATATTTTGTGTGTGTGCGTTCCAGACATTGATGAATGCAATATCATGAAGGGAGTATGCGGCAACGGCACGTGCCAGAACACGCCGGGCAGCTTTGTCTGCGACTGCAACGAGGGCTTCGAGTCCACCATGATGATGCAGGTCTGCATGGGTACGTAAGGAGCCTGCCGCACTGCCAGCTCGCCCCAGGTGTGCTACATTTGTACCGATGTGAGCTGGTGTCGTGCCTCTCTTCTGTGAGCATGACGTGGTGTTGAGTCTGGTGCAGTGCCCCGTCACATCCAGCTCCATCAGCTCCGGGCTAGCCATCGATAGCTCCAGATCTGGGACTGGGCGGCCCCTGCAGCCATTACCAAAGCCGGCGCTCGCTAATCTCGGTGCGCAATGTTCAACTGAAGACGGCGCCTGCCGGACGGCGACCTCCAAATGACCTTGAGCTGACCTGCTGCCCTCACCGCCGGCCGGCGTCCGTTTCAGACATTGACGAGTGTTCTCGCACGCCTGGCCTATGCCGAGGCGGCCGCTGCATCAACACGCCGGGCAGCTTCCGCTGCGAGTGCCCGCCCGGCCACCAGGTGGCGCCCAACGGCCGCTCCTGCAAAGGTGGGCCGCCTCCCCGTCCGTGACCGGCGGCGAGGGTGGGATGTGTGGCGGAGAGACGTGACGACAAGTTGAAGTCATGCTGGGGATTCAGACGCATCCCCGAATAACGATCGAGTTGGAGGTGTAGTTACATCCACAACAGTCCACAACATGCATGCATGCAGGGGACGAAACTTCAATATCGCTTGCATCCCCATTTCATGTAAAGTGCCGCTTCTGAGCGCGTATTGTGGTGAGATGGGACATGTTTGAGGACAGCGGTACACCCCGGGCCATCTCCTTGGAGCCGATTTTTCGTTTTTCACCATGGATGGTTCCCGACAGAAATTCAAAATCGGTGTGATACGTGCTCACAAAGCTTCGGGTCCCCCCCCGTAGACAAAGTCCTGGCTGCGTTCTTGTTTTAGGACTGTTTTTTATTGACTCCGACAATTGCATATGTGTATGCACCGACATCAGCTCCTCTGCAGTGTAGTGATGGTCGACATGCTATTCTAGAATGATCTTGATTGCTCGGGGGGGGGGGGGGAGCGTCCACATGACGGATGGCTTCGGTGTCCTGTTGTCACGTTGCCGCGTCTGCCGCAGACATCGACGAGTGCTCTCAGACGTCTGGCATCTGCAGCAACGGCGTGTGCGAGAACATGATGGGCGCCTACCAGTGCGTGTGCGACACTGGCTACCAGCAGACGTCCCAGGGCGCCCACTGCGAGGGTCAGTCACGTGACACGCCGCCGCCTGCACGACCACTGTCCCGCCAGGCTCAGCGACCCCGCCCGCGCTCAAATCTCCCTGCGGTTGTCAACGGTGTGGTGATGATTTAATTCACATTTGGTACTGGTTGTAAAAACACTTCTTTGTGATAAGCGTCCGAAAAAATGAAAAGCCGAGTCGTGTGTCATCTAGCTTGTCGGCGACCTAACGGTTCCCTTGTCAATACCTGCCATAATCGTTATCGTTGTTGTCTTGTCTCGTTTCTGCAGACCAGGACGAGTGCGGAGTGAACAACGGTGGCTGCGGCCACATCTGCAACAACAACATGGGCAGCTTCTCATGCTCCTGCCACCCAGGGTAAGCCAAAGCTAGAGAAGTGCGCTCATCTGTTTCACGTCTGTTCACTTAGCATCCCCCTCGTATTCACCGTTGTCATCATACCGCCACTATCAGCATTTGACCGCCGGTTGCCGTCACAATGCACGGCAGCCATCCTCGTGACGCCAGCACTGTGACTCGCCGCTCGCTTCCCGGCGCCCCGCTCGAGGCGCACGCCATCTGGAGACGCCGTTCCCCGCTCCAGGTACACGCTGCTCGGAGACGGGCGCAGCTGCGTCGACATCGACGAGTGCAAGACGGGAGACGACGTCTGCAACGGCGGCAAGTGCGTCAACGTACCCGGCAGCTACCGATGCACGTGCGAGGGCGGTCTCAAGTACAGCGGGCAGGGGGAGGCGTGCGAAGGTACGTCGTGGTCGGAGAGTCGGGCCACGCGGGGACGGCGGCTCGCTATGTGGGTGCGAAATGAGAGCCGAGAATAAAGCAGTGTTTTGTTGTCCGTCGCTTCGGAATATTCGCTGCCGCTGAAGGCACGGCAGCGGCGTCGCAGCGGTGTTAGGGCGCTGTTGGGCCGACTCCCAGCCGGTTCTAGCGGCTCAGGTTCGACTGTGGCTGATGTGTTCTAGCACTGGCAGTGGTATCACCGCTCTCGCGAGTACGGCTAGGCTGTTGCGCAGTTTTGGTGTTTGCCTGGGACTTACTGACCCGTTAAATGCTGCCGATGCCGTAAATAGCTTCCCAGTTCTCTCACTCTGGTGCTGCTCCGTGATACAGTGACGCTTTTCAGCACTGCAGGTGCACTGCACCATGCTTAGTCTGATGGCGAATCCACAATGCATCATCCATCGGAATGAAAACTTGATACAGAGGTTCCCTACACGACTAAGGCGTGTATTTGTCCACCTGGCCAATGCGGCATCCCATCTGCTCTCCCCAGATGTTGACGAGTGCAGCATGGACCCGCTGCTCTGCCAGAACGGCAAGTGCGACAATTCGCTGGGCTCGTTCGTGTGCCACTGCGACGCCGGCTACGCACAGGCCGAGGACGGGCCCGGCTGCGTGGACGTGGACGAGTGCGCGGATGGCACCTGCGACTGCGACATCAACGCCGAGTGCATCAATACGCCGGTAGGTGGCGGTGGCGCCGCCAGCCGTCCGTCTCCGGTGTCGCTGCTGGTCATGGCGGCGGTAAACCGCTACTTAGCTGATGCACAGCAGAGATGACAGACGCAGGTGACAGACGGGCGTCAAATCTCTGGTTGATTCAACATTAAGCCTGTGATGTAACATGGGAATCGACGAGATGATAGGCGCGGCATTTCATCATCTTTTCGGCGCATCAAACGTCACTGGCTCACAGCCATGGGTCGACTGGCACACTCAACAAGCAGGCCGGCTGCGACACTGAGCCGCGCGCAAGTCTAGAGCTGCCGACTGTTATGCCCATAAGCGGATGAACAGGCAGGGTCATAATCACCGCATACACTGAAAGGTGAGTGTTGACTTTGATCCTTATGGCCGTGATATTCCGGTTGATCCGCAAGATCCCCCGCGTCCTTGGCTGATCCAGATCCCGTCATCTGTCGCAGGGCAGCTACGAGTGCGAGTGCAGGGAGGGCTTCACCGGCAACGGCATCACCTGCATGGACGTCAACGAGTGCCTGGTCAACAACGGCGGCTGCTCGCAGGACGCCCAGTGCATCAACACCGAGGGCTCGTTCAAGGTCAGGCTGCTCACCGCTTCGTCCAATGCATTTTTGCTTTTGGCAGGTGGTGGTCTTTCAGTCTCCATGCAGTCTCCGTGCCTCCTTGCTGTTTTGCTCCGTATTCTCGGTCGGATCGGTGCTTGTTTGTCCGTCCCGTGGTGGGGTATCTGTCTGCGCGCTCGTGCCATGTTTGTCTGTCCCGTGGTGGGTATCTGTCTGCGCGCTCGTGCCATGTTTGCCCGTCCCGTGGTGGGGTATCTGTCTGCGCGCTCGTGCCATATTTGTCTGTCCCGTGGTGGGATATCTGTCTGCGCGCTCGTGCCATATTTGTCTGTCCCGTGGTGGGATATCTGTCTGCGCGCTCGTGCCATGTTTGTCCGTCCCGTGGTGGGGTATCTGTCTGCGCGCTCGTGCCATGTTTGTCCGTCCCGTGGTGGCGTATCTGTCTGCGCGCTCGTGCCATATTTGTCCCTCGCGTGGTGGAGTATCCGTCTGCGCGCTCGTGCGATATTTGTCTGTCCCGTGGTGGGGTATCTGTCTGCGCGCTCGTGCCATGTTGCCCGTCCCGTGGTGGGGTATCTGTCTGCGCGCTCGTGCCATGTTTGTCCGTCCCGTGGTGGGGTATCTGTCTGCGCGCTCGTGCCATGTTTGTCCGTCCCGTGGTGGGGTATCTGTCTGCGCGCTCGTGCCATGTTTGTCTGTCCCGTGGTGGGGTATCTGTCTGCGCGCTCGTGCCATGTTTGTCTGTCCCGTGGTGGGGTATCTGTCTGCGTGCTCGTGCCATGTTTGCCCGTCCCGTGGTGGGGTATCTGTCTGCGCGCTCGTTTCATGTCGACCTCGTTATTCATCGCCGTCACGGGATATGGCTGGAGCACTCATGCCGTGTCGAGTGTCGCGTTCTAGCATTGACGCACGACCGATTCCAGTGCGTATGCGACGTGGGCTTCAGCGGCGACGGCAGAACGTGCTCCGACATTGACGAGTGCGCCAACGACGCGAGTCTCTGCGAGAACGGCCACTGTCTGAACTATCCGGGGTCGTTCCGGTGCGACTGCGAGATGGGCTTCATGCACCAGGACGACTCCAACGAGAAGGCTTGCGTTGGTACGTGAACTGTTCCGGAGATCTCGCTGCCCGCGCCGGCGCAATAGCAACCGGGTTTTCTGGTCTTAGATCGAAGCAGCTTTACGCAATTCAGCTCCATATGTGCTTTTGATGGTAGGGCGGTGACCGTTACAGGCAACTATAACTTTGTAAAGCGCGCTCAGCTTTTCCAACATCAAGTTTTATCAGCAGGAAATGATCAAGCCGCAAGCAGACTTTCCAAGAAATCTTGCTCGCCGCCAACATATTCCTCCCCCACATCTCTTGAGTCCACCTGCCGGGCTCAGAGTTCACAGTCCCCAGCATGCAGCTTATCTCACAGCCACCTGAGGGTCACCAACACCGTGACTCCGCCGCAGACATCAACGAGTGCACCATGTTCACCAACTTGTGCGTGTTCGGCCGCTGCGAGAACATCTACGGGATGTTCCGCTGCATCTGCGATGAGGGTTACCAGCTGGACAAGACCGGTGGCAACTGTACAGACGTGGACGAGTGCATCAATCCGCAGGCACGTACACGGAGTCGGTGTGATCAACACGAGCCCCGCGCGCGCCAGGTGCTTCACATGGTATTGACTGGTGGGCAGGTCTGCTGCATCGATGGGTTTGAGTTTCCCATTCACGGTTCACGCAGCTTAAAAGTAGTTTGAAAGATGACTTTGTACTTCTGCAAGTAAACGAACGTAAAATGAGTGTATTATGGCATAGAACATCGGAACACAGAAGGCATGATCCCACCAAGTCGACCTCATGGCGACGGTCGACAATCGGTATGATCCGTAGCAGCTTGCTGCCGCATAATGCTTTTCGCCACCGTCCTACCTGACACCCGATCTCAGCGTCGTGCATTTTGCAGGCGTGCCTCTTCGGAACATGCATCAACACTCAGGGCAGCTACATCTGCAAGTGCCCGCCCAACTATGAGCTCATCGAGGCTGGGAACGGATGCGTAGGTAAGGCGACATGGTAACCGTACGATGCGACACTGTTTTGGAAGAGCCCCAAGCGGCGCGGCTCAAATGATTCACGCAATCTTTCAGCACCGTTTTAGACCAAGGGCCGTAAGCATTGACTCTTCTTCTGTACTTCCCAAGAAACTACTCATGCAATACTTCGGTAAATTAAGTACTTTTCAGGATAATCGATGGAAATTCATGCGATTCAGACATGTCAAATCTCCTTGTGATCCTCAGTCACCAAACAGGAATGCCTTTGCCTGAGGTGTAAGGCGCGGCACGCTCTCAGCACTGGGAACATGCACGGCGTACCCAATATCAGCGTCAGAAGCCTTTCGCATACTGTTGGTTCCTGTTTAGAGCTGCACATGATGTTAGCTTTCAGTGCTCATATAGCCGTAGAGTTGTTTTCAAATACGGTATTCTCCAAATCTTTTTGCATCAGCTGTCGAATGACGTTGGAGGCAAATGAATCTCAGAATGACATATCATGCATATTTTAAACCATGTCGTGCATCATGGATCTTCGGGGTCAATGAAAAAGACGCTGGTCAGAGATGACCACAGGAGGCTCGTAATTTTACTCCACATTACATACAGCAAATATTTTAAGCGTCTAGCTCTGTAAATGTTTTTCTTTTTCTTACATGAGTAGAAAATCGCTGTTTCCTGCTGAGAATTACAAAAATCGTATCACAAGACTTTCCATCTTAATTGTGGACCATTTTGGCGAATCATTGATTTTAACGCCCCTGCCTGCCGGCAGCGCGCCCCCTCTGACCCAGCACCCCCTGCCTGCCGGCAGTGCGCCCCCTCTGGCCCAGCACCCCTGCCTGCCGGCAGTGCGCCCCCTCTGACCCAGCACCCCTGCCTGCCGGCAGTGCGCCCCCTCTGACCCAGCACCCTGCCTGCCGGCAGTGCGCCCCCTCTGACCCAGCACCCCCTGCCTGGCGGCAGCGCGCTCCCTCTGACCCAGCACCCCTGCCTGCCGGCAGTGCGCCCCCTCTGACCCAGCGCCCTTTGTCTGCCGGCAGACCGGCGCGTGGCGCAGTGTTTCGTCGAGGTGGAGGAGATCCGCGGTCGCAACATCTGCAGCATGATGACAGGCCAGCAGGTGACCCGCGCCACCTGCTGCTGCTCAGTTGGCAAGGCCTGGGGACCCAACTGTCAGCTGTGCCCGCAGCCCAACACGGCCGAGTACGACGAGCTGTGTCCCAACGGGCCCGGATACCGGCCCAACGAGATCACGGTACGGGCCGCGTGGCCGTCCTGATGTGACCACGGCGTGACTGGGAAAGATCGCAACGAAATCGCGCTACAGCTCGTTAACATCGGAACAAAATGACGGCACGTTCCGCACAATACGGACGAGATAACGGCCCCGCTTCCACAGATCGCCATGAGTTCATGGACGGCCCACACAAAGGGCAATGCGGATAATGACAAGCTGAAAAAGAATACGGCGCAGCGTGCTGCTTCCGAACTTATATCACGAGATCAGTGCACGTTTCCCAAAGGTCACAAAGACACTTGTCGGCGGTAGCACCACGGATTTGGGCCGTGCCGCATCCAAGGGGCGAAAGGACCGGGGGCACGGCCCCTTTTACCAAATGTCTACATCGTCAATATCTATGCGAAATAAATGCCATCAATTAAAAATATAAAATAGGGACCCCCTGATTGATGCAGGAGTCTTCCCGATCCAGCAAAGGGCCTTGTTATCCCAAAACAGGGCGTCCTCGTCCGCAACTGCGGTCATATGATATATGAAAGGGACCTACTCTTCCAGAAAAGGGGCCTCTTGATGCATGGAGGATGCCTCCTAGTCCACAACAAGGGCCTCCTGGTTCATAACGAGGCCTCCGGAGTCAGCAAAGGGCCTCCTGAACACAAAACTAGGTCTTCCGACTTCGAAGATGGACTACCTAGTTCATAAAACCGGTCTCATGATCCAGAACACGTCTTTTGAAGCACAAAAGGGTCTTCTGAGCCGGATTAAGCACACTCTAGCTCAGTTATCATCGTCACACGTCGGGCCGACCCAACCCGTCCAAACCTCGGCAGGTTGTCGTGGAGGACATGAACGAGTGCGATGAGATGGAGAACCTCTGCATGAACGGCCGCTGCACCAACACCTTCGGCTCCTTCATGTGCACCTGCTACGACGGCTACACTCTGAACGAGGCGGGCACCACGTGCGTCGGTACGTACGAAGACGGCGGAAGCTTCTGCCAGTGGGGCGCCTTGGAGCCACGGGGCTCCGAGGCACGGGTAGACGGATGGGTGGTGTTATTGACCCGTGGGGTTCGTGCTCTGCAGGGAGATCTGCGAAGTCACTCGACTCCATCCTAGTGCTGTATTGTGTTTGGAACGTGAATAATGTCCATTCTTTATTTGCCCGAACGAAGAGATCGTGCGGAAGCCACAGCGATCTACAGACATTTCAATACCATTTACAGGCATTCAGTGCAACGCACAGGCTTTTCATGCTTTCATGATTTTTTCATTTTCGTTCCTTTCATTCATTCATTCTCACGCACTTTGCCCAACGTGTGCACCCGCCTGCAACACAGTTAACGAAACGCCGCTGCTCTCGCGTAGCCAGCGTCGTCCGACCGAGTCGCTGCCTCCGGCAGACGTGGACGAGTGCGTGGAGCAGCCGGGAATCTGCGGCATCGGCACCTGCTCCAACACGCAGGGCTCGTTCATCTGCCGCTGCCCGGACGGCTACATGCTGATGCCGAACGGGCGCGACTGCGTCGACATGCGCCGGGAGCCATGCTACATGGCGTTCGCCGAGGGCGTCTGCTCGCAGCCCATGCGCAGCGACGAGACGCGGATGCAGTGCTGCTGCTCCATGGGCGCCGCCTGGGGGCTCGACTGCAAAGCCTGCCCCGCCAAGGCAACAGGTGGGATGCCACCCCGGTGCAGGGGAGCGTGGAGTAGCACAGCCGGGGATCTCTGGGCTGGACGCGGGCGCAAGGCCTGGGCTGCGACTCGTGGCCGTAGTTTGGGTGGTTATCGTCGGTTGCTGCTTGGTGGTTGGTGGAGGCCCTCTGAGAGCATCATTCCAGCGCTCTGGTGGCGATGTGTGTGTGTGTGGGGGGAGGAAGGGCAATGTCTATAGCGCTGAAGCAAGCACAGTCCTATTTATCGTGATATTTGCGCGGCGGCGTGCGGAGTCAGAATGGCCGAGTGGTCTAAGGCGCCAGACTCAAGGTTCGCCTTCCCGTCGGTAACGGGACGAGAATTCTGGTCCTCGTATGAGGGCGTGGGTTCGAACCCCACTTCTGACATGGCGTTTTGCACGGAGCAGCGAAGCTTTCAACGGTACTTTCACAGTTGGTTAACATTGGCTGGTGGCATGTCCCCCGCCCGGGGGGCGGAGGACCGCCATTTGTTGTCGTCACCACCAGGGCAGAGCACTGCTGGCCCACTATTTGAAAACGGCGCCTCAGTAGCTCCCGCCCGCGTGGTCATTCGCCATGTGCGAACACGTCGCACACGTCTGGGTAGCTTCGCAGCCTATCGCAGCTGCCCATTGACTCCTCGGTGCAGGCTTCATTTGTCATCTCATGACATTGTATATCTGTTATTCTACGACCACCCTATTCCTACCTGCTTACATGACACATTCTTACCTGCGGCGTTTCTCGATCATTGACTTATGAATGCGTATTTATACGAGAACAAAATGGAAATTCAATTCAAGTAAGCAGTTGTTAGATAACCACTTAAAGCTTCCACTCGTTCCACTTACAAACTGACCTCTGCGCTTACCGACTTCCATGACCCGTACCATACCGTATATTCCAGTCCCCTTCTCTTCCACTACCACGGCCCGTCTCTTGTGTACGGTAGCCCGTCTCCCGTGTAAAGTGTAACCCCGCCGCTGTTCCAGCCGACTACCGGGACCTCTGCGGCATCTCGGACCCTGGCCTCTTCGTGGACCCGATGACGGGCGACGAGAAGGAGATCGACGAGTGCGCCATGATGCCGGGCATGTGCAAGCACGGCACGTGCGTCAACACGCTGGGCAGCTTCCACTGCGAGTGCGACCAGGGCTACCGCTACGACGAGGCGTCCCACTCCTGCCTGGGTCAGTGCCGGCTCGGTGGGGCGGCGGTTGCCGGCAGCTGATGGGACCCACGGACAGGAACGGCTGCAGAATATTGGCCACGGCCAATATTCTGCAGAGTTGCTTTTTTCTTGAAACGAATTGAGCATTCACTAAAAAGGAGCACCATTGATCATTGATTTAGACAGTCAGACCCCCTAAAGCCCCAAATCATCATCATCATCATCATAGACAGTCAGACCACTCCTTGGGGTCACGTGACCACGGTGGCCTGGCTTGGCTGTGGGCAGCTGCCTGACGCCCCTGCCCCGTTACCTGCCCGCCGCAGACCTGGACGAGTGTCTGCAGACGCCGTACCCGTGCCGCGGCAACGCGCAGTGCATTAACCAGGCGGGCAGCTTCCACTGCATCTGCCCGCCCGGTTATCGGCTGGCGATCAGCGGCCTCGACTGTCTGGACGTCGACGAGTGCCGCGACCGGCCTGGCATCTGCAACAACGGAGAGTGCAACAACATGCAGGCAAGGCGGACAAACGGGCCGGTGCCTCTGCCTCTGCCTTCGCGCCCTAGCTCATAGGCCTAAAGAAAAGAGTGGGCTTGGAAGTGGTGCAAACTCCGGTTATTAGGAGCCTTTGGTTACTGATGCGTGACTCGCAGTGTGCTGTAGATCATGGCGGCAATATTCATGCAGGCATTTCAAATCTGCTGGTTTTCCAGGATGCGCCCACTCCCAAATCGTAAGTACTTCCGGCCTGATATCACAACGCCGCAGCATCACACTCAGAGACTGTTCATAGTCGGCAGCTCCTGCGAACTCGGACTCGTGCCAAGCGCAGTTGCCTCCGGCCATGCCCCCGTCTGACCAGGGTTCTGCTGTCCGCAGGGCAACTTCCAGTGCATCTGTGAGAGCGGTTTCACTCTCTCGACGTCCGGAGACTCGTGCGTCGACATCGACGAATGCTCACGCAACCCCAACATCTGCAACAACGGCGTGTGCATGAACACGCTCGGCTCCTACAAATGCAGCTGTGACCAGGGCTTCCGCCTGACAGCGCAGGGCGACTGCGAGGGTGAGGCGAGGCCGTGACCTGTATGACCTGTGTGACCCTGGCCCCGCTCCAGCCGACTGGCCGGACCCTCACCGTGACCCTTCTCTGGAGCCGCCCTGACCACGCACCAGCAGCGCGTTTTAGAGCGGGTGGAGACCGTCGTTGGCCCTCTGGCGACATCCCAGGGTGTGGGTTGGCGCTCAGTTCGCATGCCGTGCGCACTGGACGTATTCACTGGAGTGGTCTCCCACGGAATCGTCAGCTGCCGTAGGGCTGCCTGAAGTGGTCTCCCACGGAATCACCAGCTGCCGTAGGGCTGCCTGGAGTGGTCTCCCACGGAATCGCCAGCTGTCGTAAAGCTGCCTGAAGTGGTCTCCCACGGAATCGCCAGCTGCCGTAGGGCTGGCTGGAGTGGTCTCCCACGGAATCACCAGCTGTCGTAGGGCTGTCTGGAGTGGCCTCCCATGGAATCACCAGCTGTCGTAGGGCGGCTTGCACACAAGGCATCGGCTCATAGCTGAACTGAGCTGGAGAGCGTTGGACTCCATTCGAGGACCATTGGACTCTATCTGAGTTGGAGACCGTTGGACTCCATTCGAGGACCATTGGACTCTATCTGAGTTGGAGACCGTTGGACTCCATTCGAGGACCATTGGACTCTATCTGAGTTGGAGACCGTTGGACTGCTGGAGGCTGTTGGAGACCGTTGGAACGTTGTAAAGATGCGCAATTTCGCACAGCCCCCATTTGACGCGCATAACCAGGAGTGGCCGTGTGTGTAGTGATCCAATATCATTGTATTATATCCGAACGACTGCGCGGTTTCCTGGACAACCAGCGTCCAATTTTGTAAGATGACACAAACCAATATAGGAAAGCCTTTTAGAACGCATGTTGTCGGATAGACGTAACCAGTCATCCGTCTGAAGGTGCCGTGCCACCCCATTCTTCGTGACCTACAGCAGGTAGAGGCGTCGCCGTCTTCGATTCGATCGTCATGCACACATCATCGTCGATCGATCACATCGACCATCGTCGATTGTCAGAGAACGAGTAAAAATATAACAAACTCGGCTTTTAAAAGTTCAACATGTTACGTGTAGCCACATCAGACGTTGTTTTATCAAGGTACACGCCATGCAAGCCTTTGCGTTCCATCCCCTCGTCTGGCGAGGACTGAAACTGTCAGTGCTTATTAGCATTTCACTTACTCCTTATGAATGCAAAAACCACCGACCAGCCCGCTGGCCTACGCACACAGCTACCCCCTGCCGCTCCCGCCGCCCGCCTGACGTCCCGCCCCCACCCGCGCCGCCGCCGGTGGATGTGAACGAGCGTCGTGCTTCCGCGTTCGCCAGCGCCGTTCCCGCTACGCGCCTGACGTCCCGCCCCCGCCCCCGCCCCAGCCCCCGCCGCCGCCGGCGGGGTGGACGAGTGTCGTCCGCGACCTTCCACGTGCGCCAGCGCAGCTCCCACCTTCCGCTGACGCTCCTGCCCCCGCCGCTGCCGGCAGACATCGACGAGTGCCGCTCGCGCATCGGCGTGTGCCGGAACGGCCGCTGCCGCAACACGGCCGGCTCGTTCGTCTGCGAGTGCGCCGACGGCTACAAGCTGTCAGCAGACGGCACCGCCTGCCAGGACGTGGACGAGTGCGTCGAGACGGCCGACTTCTGCCCACCGCCCGGCGACTGTCGTAACTTGATCGGCGCCGTCCAGTGCGTCTGCCCCGACGGCTTCACGCTCGCCGAAAACGGCACGATTTGCCTCGGTAAGCAGTCCCTGAGGGGATGGCGTGATGACGAACACACACCGGATGGCTGGGGACCGTGGTGTCTCTGGCGCTGGGACTGGAGGGGAGGACGTGTGGCCAGGTTTAGCTCAGATACAGTGGCGTACCAAGTGACTCTTCAACGCGGTTTCGCGACGGCCCAAACAGTGGAGTGACCTAAAGCTCCAGGTCCAAGGCTCGCCTTCCGTTGGAAACGTTATGAGCGCTCTGATCCACTCTCTGACACACTCACTGACACACTGAGGCCGAGCGTTTGAGCACTACTTGTCAGAGCGAGTTTTATTTGGACACATTCTAATGTACAGAGCCGGAGCCCAGTTGCTTAAACCATTAGACGGCGTTTTAGTCGAAAGCGCTTCATGCTGTCGCATAACAGACAACTCAGTCGGTGTCTCCAGTTTGCTACAGTTGCCAACAGTACCCACAGCGTGTATTACCGCGTTTGTGACCTCTGCGACGTGTCAGTGACCCTCCGCTGTGAGCTCGGGAAGCCTACCCGGACTGGTGGACGACTGTCTCCTTCCCCAGACGTGGACGAGTGCGCCCCGGGCCACCTGTGCAGCGGCGGCGAGTGCATCAACGAGTTCGGCGCGTTCCGCTGCATCTGCCCGCCCGGCTTCCAGCTGTCCGAGGACAGCATGGTCTGCAAGGACGTACGCCAGGAGCCGTGCTACGACGCCTGGCAGCCGAACACGTGCTCGCGCCGCCGGCCGGCGATGATCACGCGTGCCCAGTGCTGCTGCTCGTCGGCGGCCGCCTGGGGGCGCGACTGTCAGCGGTGCCCGGACACGAGGGCGCCGGAGTACGCCCAGCTCTGCCCCGGTGAGCACCGCGCTGCCTGTCGGCGCCCTTTGGCGGCGGATGCGCGCCGCTGACGACAGGGGGTTCAGACAGAGAGATGCGTGTTTGTGTGTGTGTGTGTGTGTGTGTGTGTGTGTGTGTGTGTGTGTGTGTATGTGTGTGTGTATGTGTGTGTGTGTGTGTGTGTGTGTGTGTGTGTGTGGTGTGTGTGTGTGTGTGTGGTGTGTGTGTGTGTGTGTGTGTGTGTGTGTGTGTGTGTGTGTGTGTGTGTGTGTGTGTGTGTGGTGTGTGTGTGTGTGTGTGTGTGTGTGTGTGTGTATGTGTGTGTGTGTGTGTGTGTGTGTGTGGTGTGTGTGTGTGTGTGTGTGTGGTGTGTGTGTGTGTGTGTGTGTGTGTGTGTGTGTGTGTGTGTGTGTGTGTGTGTGTGTGTGTGTGTGTGTGTGTGTGTGTGTGTGTGTGTGTGTGTGTGTGTGTGTGTGTGTGTGTGTGTGTGTGTGTGTGTGTGTGTGTGTGTGTGTGTGTGTGTGTGTGTGTGTGTGTGTGTGTGTGTGTGTGTGTGTGTGTGTGTGTGTGTGTGTGTGTGTGTGTGTGTGTGTGTGTGTGTGTGTGTGTGTGTGTGGTGTGTGTGTGTGTGTGTGTGTGTGTGTGTGTGTGTGTGTGTGTGTGTGTGTGTGTGTGTGTGTGTGTGTGTGTGTGTGTGTGTGTGTGTGTGTGTGTGTGTGTGTGTGTGTGTGTGTGTGTGTGTGTGTGTGTGTGTGTGTGTGTGTGTGTGTGTGTGTGTGTGTGTGTGTGTGTGTGTGTGTGTGTGTGTGTGTGTGTGTGTCGAGTAGGTGTTCTGTCCATCTGCAGTGGTCCAGCCTTGTCATCTGGTGAGCTTTCCTACTTCATTCGGAATATTTTGCTTCTTTTGGTTCCGCGTGGAATGACAGATGGGGTTTATGACTTTTGGACAGATAGGGTCTTCTGGGCTTTTTATATTTAGAACAGGCCATAGCAAATATTTTTTTTCCCTCTTTGGTCAAATCCGGCACATCGCGCCTTTTGCGAACTTGACATGCATCCCATCATAGCGTAAACCCACCAGATGGTAGCCCTGCCATTTCTGTCGCTGCCCCTACAGTGGCCTGACCCCGTTCCCCGCGGTGTCCGGCACCCCTGATGGACCACGCCTTCCGACACCCCCTGTGACCGGATGCTGCGCGGCGCCGTTCTCTCCACCGCCCAGTGGCCTTGGCCACCGTCGCCCCACGCCCCGTGACCTGACCCGGCGCCCGCAGGCGGTCCCGGTCGCGGTCCGGATGCTGAGGACCTGAACGAGTGCGAGATCATGATGAACCCCTGCGTGGGTGGCGAGTGCATCAACACGGACGGCTCGTTCCGCTGCGCCTGCCCCGCCGGATACGTGCTGGACGATTCCGGTCACAACTGCATCGGTTAGTACTGATCACTGTTATGGCGTCTCGCTTTAAAGGCACCCCGCGTTGTTTCACTTTTGTTTACTGTTCACTTTTACACTTTTTTGTTTTCCGCTTCGTGTTACGTACTGTTTTTCAGCCCGGCCTCCGGTCCTTTCAGACACTGCGCTAAGTACTGAAGTTTGGCGAGCGGCGCGTCTCGTCTCCAGGCTTCAGTCCGCGTGCCGCTGTGTGTCTGTCTGTCCTGACGTGCACCCCGTGCCGCAGACGAGAACGAGTGCGTAACACAGCCGGGCATCTGCGGCAACGGCACGTGCACCAACACCGAGGGCAGCTTCGAGTGCGACTGCCAGCCCGGCTTCACGGCCGGCCCCATGCAGATCTGCGTGGACGTGGACGAATGCAGGGAGCTGGGACACCTGTGCGCCTTCCGTTGCCACAACACGCTCGGCTCATTCCGCTGCATCTGCCCGTACGGCTACATGCTGGCTGCCGACGGCCAGCACTGCCTCGGTACGTGGACGACGGTAACCTGGGGGTCGGTAGGTTATGCTGTCAGGGTCAGCGTCAGGGTCAGGATCAGGGATGGGATCAGGGTCGGGGTGAGGTCGGGGTCGGGGTCGGGGTCGGGTCGGGTCGGGGTCGGGGTCGGGGTCGGGGTCGGGGTCGGGGTCGGGGTCGGGGTCGAGATTGAGGTCGAGGTCGGGGTCGGGGTCGGGGTCGAGGTCGGGGTCGGGGTCGAGGTCGAGATCGAGGTCGGGGTCGGGGTCGGGGTCGGGGTCAAGGTCGGGGTCGGGGTCAAGGTCAGGGTCGGGGTCGGGGTCGGGGTCAGGGTCAGGGCCAGGGCCAGGGACAGGGGCAGGGGCAAGGGCAGGGGGAGGACTGGGTGCAATACCGCGAGAATCAGCGCATCCTTGTTATAATGATCTGCAGGAAACTAGGGAACCGTGTCGTGAGGCTGAGAAAGCTGTGTCGACGACATCACATGTCATCTGAAGTGCGGTCGTAGCTCATTCATGTTATGAGCCTGACCAGTTTGATCCGATTGTCAAAAAGGCTCCGAGATGTAGAACATGTCAGAGTTTGTGCGAAACCAATGCTGAATAGGTCGCAAGGTTTTTTGTAAGCGTTTACTTGCTTGCCTAACTGGTGTATGCATTTGGACCAACATGACACTTATGAACTCACCAAACGATGATCTCGTGCATCCTTTGGCGTTATCTTTACTTTTTTATCTTCATGGAGCTGCGCAAAATCCTTCAGTCCTTTGGTTTTACCGGCTCATATTCGTCATGACTTGTTTCAGTCTGCGATATTAATTGCGTATTTCCCCTCCATGTGCCAACTGCCTGAAGCCGTACGCAGCTTTGTGAAGAGGCTCGGTCTACAAAGAAGGGGCGGAATAATGGCACATTTGGTTGTTTACAGACGTGGACGAGTGCCAGACACCTGCCAACAACTGCCGCTTCCAGTGCAAAAACCTCATCGGAACATTTATGTGCGTCTGTCCCGAGGGCTATCAGAAGATCGGCATCGGAGACAACTGCCAGGTATGGTGTTTTCCTCCATTGAGCCGCGTCATTTAACATCTGGGGTACGGCAACGGTCGTCACGGACACCTCCCACGAAAATGCCCTCGGGCTGTGTATTACGCTGCTGCCTGAGAGACGCATGCAGCCTGCATTGCACGCAGACGTATTGGCTTGAGGGATAGGCGTATGGCGCTTCGCATTTTATTCAGCGGTACTTCACATTTCTCAGGACATCAACGAGTGCGCAGTCAACCGGGACATCTGCCACAACGGCTACTGCATCAACACCAAGGGCGGCTACCGGTGCGACTGCAAGGAGGGCTACGTGACCTCCCCAGACGGCACAGAGTGTATCGGTAGGTGCCCCCGCGCCCGGCGGGCCGGTGTGGCGGCCGAGTGCTGCGTCACGATACGTACTACCCCAGCAACCCCAGAGTGTATGGGTAGGTGCCCCGCGCCCGGCGGGCCGGCGTGGCGGCCGAGTGCCGCGTCACGATACGTACTACCCCAGCAACCCCAGAGTGTATCGGTAGATGCCCCGCCCCCGGCAGGCCGGTGTGGCGGCCGAGCGCCCCAGCAACCCCAGAGTGTATCGGTAGATGCCCCGCCCCCGGCGGGCCGGTGTGGCCGAGTGCCGCGTCATGATGCGTACTACCCCAGCAACCCCAGAGTGTATCGGTAGGTGCCCCGCGCCCGGCGGGCCGGTGTGGCGGCCGAGTGCCGCGTCACGATACGTACTACCCCAGCACCCCGTCACAGCGAAGAGCCGAGAGGGCATGTGCGTCTCAGAGAACCGGCGTAGTGGCAAGGAGCAGAAGATTGCCAAATGACGCTGAGCACGGCTCTTAACTGCTTGAGTACACTGCTTCTGGCGAGACGATGACACTTTTAGTTTACTCGCCCTGCAGGCAGAGCTATGCGGACAAACTAGACACCAGCTGCCGGGCTGATGGAGGCCGATGGATCGTGTGCAGAGTCCAGCTGACGGGCCGTCGCTCCTGCCACCTGGTGACTGTCCGCGTGCGTCGACAGACCGGCGCACGGGCTACTGCTTCCGCCACCTGGTGGGTGGACGCTGCAGCTCGCAGGGCGCTGATCAGCTGATGAAGGTGACCAAGGCCGACTGCTGCTGCACCATGGGCACCGCCTGGGGGCCCGAGTGCGAACACTGCCCGGGCCGCTACTCGCGCCAGTACGAGCAGCTCTGCCTGGAGGCTGGCTACTCCATCGACGGCTCAGGTCAGGTGGACTGCGGTCAGGACTGAGGGGATGCCAGGTCAAGGTCAGGACTGAGGGGATGCCAGGTCAAGTGGAGTGGGGTCAGGACTGAGGGGATGCCAGGTCAGGTGGAGTGGGGTCAGGACTGAGGCGGTATCAGGTCGGGCCAGGGAGTCTGAGGTCATGTCAGGTCAGTGATGCCGAGGTCAGGTCATGTCAGGTCAGGTCAGTGGGGAGGCCACACGAGCAATCAGACTGAGACGGCTTGCACCACGGGCCTGACGATAGCGTAATAACCCAAGGAGAACACAGAACGTTAACACATCCCGTGTCGAGCTAACCTAGGCGTTGTATTTTCGCTACGAGTGGCGATAGCTGTCGCGGTTTAACATAACTCGATCACGCGTGTGTCTTTCACCACTTCGTCACGCGTGTGTTGTGACCGGACGTTTGCCATGCTCCGATATCTCAGGTGATCAGCTCGCCAACCCCCCCCCCCCCCGCCCCTCTCGTCACTCTCGTGTCCCTGCGCCACAGACATTGACGAGTGCCGCACCATCCCCGGCCTGTGCAAGAACGGCCGCTGCATCAACACGCTGGGCTCGTACCGCTGCATGTGCGAGCGGGGCTACAAGCCAGACCACACCGGCATGCACTGCATCGGTAGGTGGCGCCTCGGAGCTGGCCGGAGCCGGCCTGCATCGGTGGGTGACGCCTCAGAGCTGGCCGGGGCCGACCTGTATCGGTGGGTGGCGCCTCGGAGCTGGCCGGGGCGGGCCTGCATCGGTGGGTGACGCCTCAGAGCTGGCCGGGGCCGACCTGCATCGGTGGGTGACGCCTCAGAGCTGGCCGGGGCCGACCTGTATCGGTGGGTGGCGCCTCGGAGCTGGCCGGGGCGGGCCTGCATCGGTGGGTGGCGCCTCGGTAGGTGACCGGGACGGGCCTACATCGGTAGGTGGCGTCTCAGAGCTGGCCGGGGCGGGCCTACATCGGTGGATGGCGTCTCGGTAGGTGGCCGGGGCGGGTCTGCATCGGTGGGTGGCGTCTCGGTAGGTGGCCGGGGCGGGCCTGCATCGGTGGGTGGCGTCTCGGTAGGTGGCCGGGGCGGGCCTGCATCGGTGGGTGACGCCTCAGAGCTGGCCGAGGCCGACCTGTATCGGTGGGTGTCGCCTCAGAGCTGGCCGGGGCCGGCCTGCATCGGTGGGTGTCGCCTCAGAGCTGGCCGGGGCGGGCCTGCATCGGTGGGTGACGTCTCAGAGCTGGCCGGGGCGGGCCTGCATCGGTGGGTGACGTCTCAGAGCTGGCCGAGGCCGACCTGCATCGGTGGGTGACGTCTCGGTAGGTGGCCGGGGCGGGCCTGCATCGGTGGGTGACGCCTCAGAGCTGGCCGAGGCCGACCTGTATCGGTGGGTGGCGTCTCGGTAGGTGGCCGGAGCGGGCCTGTCACGTCGTCGCGGAGCGTGGGCGCACTCTTGACACCCGTTGCAGGCGGAGAGGCTCCGGAATAAAGCAACTTGTCGTTTAGACATGATGAAATTACTTTTCATGCGAACGGTTTTATGAATTGGTGGCGGAGTGAATCAACCGCTTTGGCTGAATACGTTGATCGGTTGACTCTCATTGCAATGTGTATAGTATTTGAATGTTTTATTCTGACTGCTGGTATCTCGATGTTATGTTCTTATGTAAACATCAACGCATGCTCTACATGATAATTAAGTGTCAAATAGGTATATATGTATATATATATATATATATATATATATATATATATATATATATATATATATATATATATATATGCATATATGTGTACATATTACATGCAAATTATTTTCCTTATGTTGCATATGTTTTCTGACATTCATATTACACCATAGATTCACATTATTTGATTAGATTTGGATTGGATCTACGTCATGTCACAAACGTGCCGTGCTTCTTACGAGTCAGAACCCGAATCGATCACATGCGCTGTGGGCGGAATGGAATCGATTCCGTTCGGCCTGAATAGGGCCCACATCTGGCGGAGGGCGGGGATGTACACAGGCAAAGGGTAAATGGGTGGGCAGATGGCAAATAGATGTACGGAGTGGCAACGCGTGTGGTCGTGCCTCGTGCCGTTACTGTTTAGATGTGCTTATTATTTTAGTTCCAGTATGGACAGAGATAGCCTGGTAGAAGTGTGCATCGGTTGGCCGCAATCTTATTTTATTTTCAGCGATAGTGTGTTTCATGTGCTGTGGCTTCGCACTAGTGCTGTTAACGAAGCTCAGTCCTGCATCTATGCACACTTGGGCATGGCACTCACTATGAGCGAGTGCTCCTGGCATGACTTACACTGTCATCTGTCGGCCAGATGTGAACGAGTGTGTGCAGTCGCCGCCGCCGTGTCGCTACGACTGCGAGAATTCGGATGGCTCGTACCGGTGCCTCTGCCCGACCGGCTTCGTGCTGGACCTGGACGGCAGCAGCTGCAAGGACCTGGACGAGTGTGCCACCGGGCAGCACATGTGCCAGCACGAGTGCACCAACACTCAGGGCTCGTATCGCTGCTCGTGTCCCGACGGCTACCGCCAGCTGGGCGACCAGTGCATGGGTGAGGCTGCACCGTCTCTCGCGCGTCACCCGGCGGAACATATCGGTTGATGCCTGTTGGGCGGTTCACTGTAGTGAAATGATTTCTTGTGGGGTTTAACGTGCGTAATTTGTTTGTAAGGTGTCGTAATCTGTCGTGAGTAATTTGCCTTTTTTAGTATTGGCTATTACCGCGTTATTTATCACCGGTTGTCCGCATTATATGATGCTTGGTCGGATATTGCGTCACATCGCTTGAGCGTCTTCCTTCTTTCCGACCTCTGACGCCGTCCGTGCGGCCGCCGCAGACGTGAATGAGTGCATCGAGACGCCGAGCATCTGTGGCCCGCTGGGGGCCTGCTCCAACGTGCCAGGAAGCTACCGATGCGTCTGCCCCAGCGGCTACCGCCTGGACGAGGCCGGCGCCCTGTGTGTGCAGGAGGAGATCGACTACTCCGACTACGACTGCGGCCAGGACTACTGCGATGAAGACGAGTCCCAGGGTTGCCGGGTGGGTCCGGCCTCCGGCCTCGGCCCGGCTCGGAGACATCGCCGAGCCTGAGAGCGGTCGCGGCGAGAAGCCCTATTGGGGAGGAGGCATTGGGTGGTGTCTCGGCTAATTGTGTGCGCATGGTTTAACTGCAATGTGCCACCCGTAAATAACTCATCAAATGCAGTACTCCAGATGTTTAACATCTTGTTCACGTATCACACTTGGTGCATCAATACGAGTGGGCCATCAAGCCTTGCGCTACCTCTGCATAGCAACACACACTTCTGAGCATGGAACTTAGCTGACGTTTGATGCACTGTGAGTAATGGACTGTGCCCAACAAAGCACAATTTTTTAGTTATTTGTAGAAAGCTTCGTCGTACTCCACTGCATCATTGAGCATCGTTTTTGCTAGACGTTCTTCTTCAACCTGTAATAATTTTGCAACCTTCTAGCTTTACCACGGACCCAAGAAAAACGAGCGCCACGTAGTCACTATCCTTGCAGCAACGTCCATGTCCATAGCTATACGGTGACGGACGATCCTCCAGTGTTGATATTTCATGTAGCGGTACTTTGTCTTGGTTTGAAAATTACTTGTTGACCAAACTTTTCCGCCCACTCTGATGCAACAAAATTCGAATTTCTTTGATAATCCCGATCCCCATAACACATGGTAAACACGGAAAAGAACGCAGGCTCCGACAACAGGCGCGCCCATCACCACCATCCGGTCAGTCACGTGACCCGCCCCCGCAGGAGATGTTCGGCCGCACCATCTGCACGTGCCCCGAGGGCTACGTGCAGAGCTTCCGGCTGGGCCAGTGCGTGGACGACGACGAGTGCAACAAGCGGCCGTGTGGCACGGCCTCCTGCCAGAACACAGTCGGCAGCTACCGATGTCAGTGCCCTCCCGGCTACCAGTTCAACGTGCGGATGCTCGTTTGCGTGCAGGTGAGGTGGAGCCGGACTGCCAACCTGGATGGGGGGGGGGGGCGGAGGGAGGGGCTGGCCTCCGGGGGAGTAACGGTAGAGGAAAGGAAAGTAACGGTAACGGATCTGAATGTCTGTCGAAACCGCGTGACCGAGAGAGGCAGGCCGGGATGATTCCTTTTGGCTGATGGACATGACCCCTTGGCACATCCGTATCGAGCACAATGTATCGTCTCTTTGAGAACGACATCCATCTTACGGCCCTTAGACGTGCGTGCAGCTGCTGCGCGTGTGGTCGCAGCTGCTGACATCTCTGTGAGGGTCGGCCGATGCCCGGTGACCGCCACGTCCGACCAAGCCGGTAACACGGCCCTCGGCCGGGGTTTGCCGCAGATGGCGCCGGCGTGCGTGTCTAGCTCCTGTTCGTTCGGCTGCCAGCCGTCGGGCGGCGCTGGTGGCGTCAGCTGCGGCTGTCCCCAGGGCTACCAGAGCTTCGGACAGGTCAGTAGAATGTTTGGCGATAGGTAGCTAGGCATTTTGCTGTTGGACATGCTGTATTTTACCGTTATTCAGCTTTGAAAACTATGTTTCGGTATGGTCGGTTTAGTAAGCTACGTTATTATTGATAAAGCGGCTTCGCCGTGGGGTTAGTCGAAGGTGCGGGTAATTTCTACTCGAAGCGCCTGGTTCTGTTTTCCATGAATCACACTTCGTATTGGATCATCTGTGACATCCTCGATCGCAGCTGGGACTTGAGGAATGTCCTAGTAATGCTCCTTGTCTCGCGCCATAAATCATTCGCACTCACATCCGTATTTTGCTGAAATGAAACCCATGCCATGCACACAGTCTAACTCCTTACGCCTGTAATAAGATATGACGACTTCTGCAGGGCCTGACGTGTCCATTTGCTCAAACAGGGCCGCTGTATATCGACCATCAGGGTCAAACGTGTCCATTTGCTCCTACAGGGCCACTGTATATCGACCATCAGTCCGGCTGGTGGCGGCTGGAGCTCGCAGCAGACCTCCTACAGTAGCTACCAGCAGTTCAACACACAGACCGACACCAGCAACGTGATCAGCACCGAAGGCTGCTTCTCCTGCAAGGTCAGCAGCGATGCCAGCCGGAGCCTGGCCCGGTCAGCAATCAAGAGTCGGCAGATGATAGATACCAAAGATGGCTAGTACATTGCAGTCGGACGCTAACTTTCAGCTAACAATGAAGATGGACGTGGATGTTCACTGTAATGCAATCTCTCACGCACGTAACAGGCAGGCCATGAGACCAGCATGGAGACGAGGAGAACGACAATGTGGAAAAGTGGGAACACGATAGCGCTGTAGAAGGCCACGCCTGCGGTTGTGTGATATGAGTTCTCTTCCTCGCCTCCCTGTGACCCCGCTCGGTGTACTGACCCGCCCACCCCTCCTCTCAGATAAACGGTAGGAGCCTGCGCGGCCCTTCCTCACCTCCCACTGACCCCGCTCGGTGTACTGACCCGCCCACCCCTCCACTCAGATCAACGTCAAGAGCCCACGCGGCTCTCCCTCGCTTCCCACTGTCCCCGCTCGGTGTAGTGACACACCCACCTCTCCACTCAGATCAACGGCAAGAGCCCACGCGGCAAACGCAGTGCGCCATCGCTGGACGTGGTGCGTCAGCTGCTCCGACTCAACGGTACCTACGACAGCGCAGAGCTGAACGAGGTTAGTGGCCAGTGGGGTGGTGTGGGGCAGCCAGCTCCTTAACGGGCCCGCGGCCGCCGGCGACCCATTGCGGGATTGGGTGTCGTGTAGCAGTACAGAAAACGAGTTACTGCGGTTTCGATTTGAGTGTTTTATCAGCTTGTCTGCTCTTGTGATCTGCAGCGTGCTGGTTTCTTTCGCAGATGGACGTGGGTGCCGATCATCAAAAGAGTCACCACCACAGCAAGCACCATCACAAGAAGCATCACCACAAGAAGCATTCCGGAAAGCGCGTGAAGCTGCGCTCGAGGCCCGAAGATGGTCAGGATGCCCTCCTGATTCAGATTCAGCTTAGCCAGACGAGAAAGAAGACGAAGATCATCCGACTGCAGCCCGCTCTTAAGTACCTCCAGGTCAGCTGTGGTTCTTCGTCTTTATCCGATATTATTTTCAGGTGATGCGATGCACTTTTATATTTAAACTCTTTAAGTGAAGAAATCTGCTGAGCCTGTGTCTTCTTACGATTAGTATCTCCTCTTAACTTCTTGTTTCTTGTCCTATGAAATAAGCACATGAGAACATTCTCCGCGCGTTGTTTCTTATCTCATAATATAGGTCCGGTACTAGTTCGTACGCATCTATCAGCAGCAAACACATGTCTTTCAGCCAGTAAGGGTCACAGGACTGGTCGCAATAAACGACATTTATTTTTAACGCTGCTAATAAATGTTTAACCCTGTTTCTAACGCCGTTAATGGAGGCGATCCACGCCCACCTAACGTCACGCGTGCTCTGTTCCGCAGCACAACGTCCACTACTCGATCGCTTCGGGCAACGAAGCGGGCCGTTTCCTGCTGCTGACGCGCAACGACATCACATCGCTGCACTTCGTGCACAGGCAGCAGAAGCCCGGCCAGTACGACCTGGTGCTGACCGGCAACCCCATCCACCGGGTCACGGGTCACCAGGACGCGGCGCCGTTCCGCCTGCCCGTCCGGATCTTGGTAGTGGAGTAGACGCGGAGGCGACAGTGACGCCGCCTTTAGCGACGACCGTGACGTCCTCTTGAGCGGTGTGGTGCTGCCATCTAGCGGCCGCTGCCGGCGCGGTTCACACCGCGCGGCGCGCCAGGCTGGGCCGCGGGCCAGCCGCCGGTGGGAGTTTGCGTGCATGTGTCTGTGTGTCCGCGTGTGCGGTGATGGTTAATGGAGTCTGCACGTGTGTCTGTCCGCGCTCACAGCATGCCGGAGGGAGTTTGTCGCGCAAGTCGGAGTGCAAACGTCCTCATGTACGTCCGTTCACGTTGGGCGAACGGGTCTGGTGAGCGTGCGTGTCGGAATAGGTATCTGCGTGCGTTAGTAAGCATCGGTGAGCCATACATCAGAGCTCGCGAGTGTCTGTGTTCCAGGTCCGATGTCAGTGTGCCGAAGAGAGACTGAATGTGCGTGACAATATAAAGCTCGATTCCACTGCCAGTATAGAACAGTGCCATAGAGCGCTTGACTCCACTGTAACTTGCCATATGCTTTCTTATGCGGCACGAACTGTAACATCACGTCCTATGAGAACATTCAGGGCAGCAAGTGTGGTCTTGAAGCCTTCCGAATCCCGCGACGTGCCTTCGACCGTGTGAGATAGTTGGCGGTGTTTGGTCGCTATAGTGCTGTTTAAACGCGACATGCTGTCAAGAGCGTGGTGTGCTTAGAGAACGGATCGACATCCAGCTGGGCTGATGACCTGTGCAGTATCGACCACGCCAAATGTTCGCGAAGCCCCAGTGTTGCGTGTAGATACGCTTCGCAACAGGTCCCGCTAGGGCATTGTGAGATGGGCAGAATGACGTCATTTAATCCTTCTCATGGCCTGATGTGGACCTTCAAGTGACGTAGGCCATGTTGACGGATAGACTATAATTACTTATGTTGCAGTCCTTATCGACGCAACTATCGGCTTTTAACCATAGCAGAATCCTGGAACTGTTACTAATATACTTTGTTTTAAATGCCCGTGGTTTGATATGCCCGTTAAAATGCCCGTGGCGCGTGGTTTGAAGCAGATGACCTGCTTCAAAATTCTCAAATTCACCTAAGAACCGCGGCTAACATACTGGGGCATGCATCTGGGTGCAGCGCGGCACCTCTGCCGGCGGCACTGGCAGGCGCCTGCGACCTCTGTTCGACGGGCCGGCTGAGCTGAGGCGTGGCGTCTTGCGGTCCGGCATGAGCCGACGTAGCCGAATCGGAGCCTCGACACACCTCACAGGAGGGGGGGGGGGGGGGGGGGGAGGGGAGGGGAAACTGGCGCCACGTGACGGCGGGCCACTGTTCCGGCGGCCTCAGACGTCGGACGGCCGCGGCGGGCGCCACTCGGCCTCGACAGGAGTCGGCGCCGCGTCCCTCAGCAAATCCCGTCACCAGGCTCGGCAGGGAGCACCATGGACCGCTCGGAGGCCAGGTCTGTCCAACAGAGCCGGTGTGGGGTGCCGCCCTGGGCTCGGGCGGGGCAGGGCACAGGCGATCCTGGGGCTGGGTGAACCTGTGAGGCTGCGCCCACAGCTGCAGTTTACCAGCCACTGTGACATCCTGTTTGCTATTGTGTCCACCTCCTTCACCATCTCTTGTCGTGCTTGCAGTGAACAACGGCATGGCGTATTCTTCACTGAGCATGCTGTTTCTAATGCTAGCGGAAGCTTGTTGCTATTGCCGGTTGCTGCGGAACTCAACAGCCATTAAAAAACTATCGTACGAAGCTTTAAGTCAAACTGCTAAGTACTGCTACTCATCCCTAACTGGGCTCGTATTCAGGTTAAAGCCCTCCAGACTCGTAACATGTTAAAAAAGAAAACTCCGGATGTAACGAAAGATACTACAGGAATAAGAAAGGCAAGTCGCAACGTCCTGAATTAGCAAGAAAGAAAGCAATGTTTTGCAAGCTAATCCTTTTAAATAACACGGAAATTTTACCGGGTTCGCCTACATCATACCTGAACTATCAACACAACAAAGTCCAGTGTTGTAAATGTTGGTTATGTTGTAGATGACGAACGCCGTAGATGTAGATTCGGACACTTGACGTTGGGCCGCAGGGTTCTCAAACTCTGTGTCTGAGTGTGTTATGCGTTATGAAAATACTTGTCCTGATACCGTTATTGGCATTTAAGTGCATGCCAGGAGAAATGCATCGTAAGGGAAAGCAGATCAGTTGGTCATGCAGAACAAAGGCCAGTCCTTCATTTCGTTTTGGAAAGCTCAGAAAGTAGAGGTTTTTCGGGTAAGGTGAAGCCATGGTTTCTGCATGGAATGAGCAATGTGTTAGATACGAATTTAGGAGAAAATATTTTTAGCGTACGGGTGTGGGTAAACGTTTAAGAAATGCTGGGTAGATATTCCAAAAAAATCTGGAGTATAATATTATTTGTGTTTCTTTCAGCCATGCCTAGCTTTATTCACGCTACTCTTGCAACTGTCGACGCATAGCGTATGTTTTGCGTGTAAACTTTCCTGAAACTCTTGCCGAGTACAGTGCTAAAAGAATACAAACTGGTTGGTAGCGAATGGTTACAGCTAATCGGTAATGAACAACAGGTGGGTATGGCATGAGCAAAGCTCCATGGGTAGCCAATGCAATGGGCAAACGAAAGCGTAAATGCTCGTGAAAGCCTCTGCCAGAAAGCATCGATCTTGTGACATTTCATTGTGATAATAAACTGGAAATAGTTTATTATTACAGAAAGCGACGGAGTTGCAGGCACGTTTTAGAAGGCTTCCATTGAATATTGGGTATTTACATCGAGTGGTCTCGACGCCTGAGCAGCACTACCCAGCCACCGCAGGAGTGACGCAGCCCAGGAGAGAGCGCGGCGCTGCAAAGTGGGGCTCCACCTTATGACGTTGCCTGCCACGCTCACATGGTTGGTAAAATGGTTGGTTTTGCTGAGATGGGGCTACTTTTCGCTGGGATAAGGGAATCAAAGCCTTCGCAGGCAGGCGGGCTACGTTTAGTGCAATCCTCAAGCCCTAAAAGTCCAACCTACGAAACGTCCACCGTCTTCCAAAAATTGGTGGAGCACGATTGTTTATGTTCCGGAGGCCTGCACCAGTGTCGTCAATTTGAATTGAAAAATCCAAACAGCAGTGGGATAATGCGTAAACTTTTCATGAGATAATACAGTAGTAATAACCAGATTCCTCGTAGGAAAACCAGGAGAAGGGAAATGCAGAAACGCTGATAGTTCGACAGCACCTTTATCGGAACGAACAACAGCATTCGTCTTAATTAAGGCATATTAGTGAAATATCAACGCTTCCATATTTCCATTCTCCCGGTTTTTCTACGGGTAACAAGGCTTTTACTACCGTATTTTCTACGTGCATAATGCTCTTTGCGATGCATTTAACAACTTACATAATGTCTCATGAGTGTAAAAGCCGTAAGAAAGTACAATTTTCTTTCCACCAATTTTTGTGCGCAAGGGCGGCAGCTCATATCTCATCGGACTTTAAAGGGACCTCATTATCCCGATTATCCTATCACCCCATTACTCCATCACCTCCTTAGGATACCCGATAATCACAAGTCATTACATGCCCCAAAATCAATGCTTCCGGGATGTGGTTACAACTGCTGGACTGGAATGAGGCCGCCGAAGAGGATGGCGCTTCCCTAAGTAAAAAGTGACAACGGCTAAGACAACGTTTAAATGACGGGACAGCATTTACTACGAGTAGGTCCGATTCATGATTCGTCGAAGTCTTAGCTACGTTCAACTGAAGTGTTAAATTGCTTCAACATTGAGGCATAATGTTCAACTAGAGTTGCCTAAACTACAGCTTTAAACAACAACGTTCCAACACACCCAAAGACCTGCTCCTATCCAAGACGGCGATATGTTCATGCGCGGGACATGCTTGACCAGAAAACAGGGCCAGATGACCGATCTTAGGAGAATGCTGCTTTCCCTTCCTTGTTCTCTGACGTTGACTTCAGGAGCGACAAATTGCATACAAATGGACTTAAACACATATACCGCCATGTCTGTCTGTCCACCCAAGGAGCCGCCTGCCACTGCGAAGCTGCGTAATCGGGAGGAGTCAGGGCGCACATTTTCGCCAATACATCCATTTCGTAGGTTACAAATCGGCATAAACCTGTTTCTGCACATCTAGACAATGCCTAGACGGAGAGCAAAAAGCCATGTAATTTAAAGCCGTGAGCCATAAAAGCCATTGTCATGTAGTGCATATAATATGCATACAGGAAAAATATATATAGGATCTGGGACATTGGTTCTGGACCCTAGACATTGGATCTGGACCGTTGGTTGCTATTAATCAACCGTGCACATTCCCATTTTATGTCAGACGTCTTGATTTCTGATGACTTACATGAGTGAGGCTCTCAAGGACAAGAGCGGGTATCTCATCTCCAAAAATGCTTCGACGGACACTGGCTGTACATCAGGGCCTGGCTCCTGTATATCGGTGTGTGCTCACCAGACACACCAGCCGTGTCGCCACTGTGCGGTGGCGCACCCGTCCCTCCCTCGCGCCCGGCCGTAGCTGTGACGCCTCCAAGGCTCGGCGCGTCATGCGCTACCCCACCGCCGACGCATCAGAGCGACACGGTCGGGGCCGCGGCGCAGCGCCATCCGACGACGCGGCTCCACACGACGTCAGCCGTGTCACGTGACAGGCCATTCATGCGACCGAGACGTCCCCTGGCTGAGGCCTGCAGTCGCTGCTGACGCAGGCGCCGGTGCACCGCTCCCGCAGCTGAGGCGTGGGCGGCTCGGGGCCAGCGCGGCGAGGCGGCGGCGGCGCACTGCTCCGCTGCTGGGGCGTGGGCGGCTCGGGGTCAGAGCGGTCGGACGGCGGCGGCGAGGCCGCGCCCAGCGCGGCTGACTTCCATTGTTCGCCCGCCAGATTAGGATGGTGCGTCTGTCAGCTGTGGTTCGAGCTGGCGCTGATGCAATGAATGACAATGGAATTTGGTGCAGATAGCCTGATAGCCATGTGTGCTATGCATTGGTGTTCGACATCGTGGCAGCGAAACCGACTCTGTGGTTACTCGCGGCAGGCAAAACCCATTCTGCCTCTCCGGTCTTGCACTGCACCGCGAACTTTGACATGACCGCAATTTAGACGCAAAAGGAAAGGAACGAAATTTCGAACGAATTTGCATGCGAATAATTCCACATGGAGTTTTCGGGTAGTCAGCCGGATCCGAGTAGGGGTGGGGGTGGGAGTGGGGTCACGCCATCCTTCTACTGGGTTGATCAACCTTAAGTCATGTTGAAAGTGGTGGTTCTGGAAGGAGCCGGGACTCTACACGCAAAACCGCCTCTTTCCCGGCGGCTGCCGTAAAAAGTGTTGAAGATGGCCCCGGCCGAAACGTCTGGGCATAGTATCCCGGCTCTTTCAAGGGGCACCACCTTAGTATGGCACACAGACCATCAGCTCAGAAGATGACGCAGGCTTTGTTCGAATATCAAGATATATAACCGATCTTTGAGCTAAAAATCATCTTATACTTTTCACGCATTTCGACGACAGGACGCCGATGCACCAACGCTCCATTTAAGGCAGCACACACTTGTAATCCGGCGCAACGAAAACTATGCTATCGTGATCCATGGTTTACTTTTATGAGGCCTGACTCAGCGATAATTCCAGAGCATGCGCTTAACTCCATTTTAACTCCCACGCGTTGACTTTTCAGAGATATGGACCTAACTCATCCCAGGTGTGGTTGACTCATAACGTGCACTCATAACGTGCGAGCGGAACCGAATGCCTGTGGGTGACAGGGGCCAGTTCAGTCTCGAACGGCAGCGGCACACGACATTACCGGTGCGTGGATGGAAATTGCGGCATCATCGCTACGCCACGGCAATACCGATGTGCCGAAACGACTGTATACGACATTTTACCCCTGCTTGTGTGCCTGAGCGTGTGCACAGTGTGCCACGTGCACCAGTGGGGAGCTCCGGATCTGACCATGGTGC